GCAAGACTCTCAATATAAATGATGCAGTTGCAAAAGCAAGGCTGCTACACATTCAATTAAGTTTTTGTTCTCATTGTGATTACTATTTATGAATTCGTGGAGCAAGTATGGATATACTTAAGCATAGACTTCTAGCAGCAGAGAATGAGATCCATAAACCACCCTTTCTATCTTTCCAGAGCTGAAACAAGCAAAAAGTCCCTTCTTCATCCTAAAATTGGCCACATACGTTCTTGCATCCCCTAGAAACACGAACAGTCTGAAAAGCCTTTCACAGGCAGAATCTCTCTATAAATGTTAAAGAGCTGCTTGGCAATATTGGTTATCAGTCTCCACCTAGTGGAGAAAGGCTACTGAAAGGCTCTCAGCATCTGGGGATGCCCTGAGGATCACCATGGCATCCCGCAGAACAGCCAGACCTGCTAGAGAAGCATGCCAAAAAAATAACTTCTTTGATAATCTCAAATCCTAAGGATACCTAGATAAATTATATCTAGAAGAAAGTAGCTTTTATCTAATTTCTATCAGTGTGCATTACATCTCTATATTTCATAGCTTATGAACCTATGAAAACTTATGACTTGTGTAGAAACACCTAGCCAAAAACCCCCACCAAAACACACCACACCTCCATTTTTAAATCTCTTTTCTCCTTTATACAGTTACTTTTGACAAAGTTTGTTTTGGTTTTTGTTTTTTAAAAAAAAGTCTCCTCCATACTAGGTAACTTCTCATTATGTTATCTAACTGTTGCTTCCAGAACTCAGATCTGACATGGTCTTGAAATTACTAGAATAGCCCTCAGGATTTTTAGCTGGTTTGGCCATCAGAACATCTCATTACTTGAGATCCAAGTAAAGTCAGCCACACAGGTGTGGGAAAGCAAGCCATGCGTGGCCTGTCACACTTGAGTAAGAATAATTATCATTACCAAAACTCAATTTATGACCTTTAAGTGCTGTAGTACATACTACAAGCATGAGTGTCGGGGGTGGGGGGGTGGGGAAGGCTACTGACAAGCACAAGTACTATTTTATCTATACAAAACCACATCTGATTTATGTTCACAAGGTGAGCTGCAAACAGAAATCATTCCACAAGAAAATGTGATTTCATAATAATGTGTTAACAGACCAGTCAGTGAAACTTAACTGTTTGCTCTCAGCTTGACATTAGTGCAGTTCTACCCACATCAGGATTAATTGCTTTCATTAAGCATTCCCAGGAAGAATTTTGGTTTTGAAAGAAATTGAGGAAATGTATATAAACACTGAACAGGTAACTGCAAACTGTTAGAGCAGGAACACTCCTCAGCTCTTGGGTAAGGGTGCAGGCCCCATTCTTAATGCTCTTTGGTCTTCATTGAAATAAAAGATACATATGAATCAAGGGAAGCAATATATATATATATCTATCAGTGTATTTTCTCAAAATTTATCTTTTGTTGGTAATGCATATACCATCCTAAAAATACCCTATTTGCACTGAGGCCTGCAAGATCAAATAAAAATCAAATTAGCCTGCCAATACTCTTTAAAAAAACCCATGAACTGTGCAGCAGCATGCAAGACTCGTGGTCAGTTACAGCAATGGCACCATCCATTTTGTCTTCTCCTTCAGATGAAAAAAAGAAGGCATCATGCCATCTGCACAATGCAATTACGTAAAAACCACATATTTATGTGCACTGAAGCTTTGATGAACTCAGATTTTAAGTCAATTAATCAAAACCACCATTATGTAACTAGTAGGATATTAGGAGCTTTTTTCTAGTGAATGCACATGAAATTACTAAACATTAACAACTAAGAGACAGGAAAAAATTCTGATATAATTCTGAACTTTTAGAGTGCCACAACACAAGTCCCACTTAATTCTCAATTAGGCTGCAAAGAGTAAACAGAACTCTACAGGAAAGTATCCTGAATGGGAGCAGAAGAGGTTATGCTACAGCCTAAGGTGCAAGATTATTTTCTTTTAGCACTTGCACGGCCTGACGTTATTATTTGTATTGCTTCCATGTTATCAACCTAGTAGCAATTGCTTTTATTTCCAGAACATCCCAAACTATTTCAAAGACTGCTTTCCAGCCAAAGCTTCTGGACTCTGGAGCATGGCAGAGAGGCAGCTCTAGGCCCCGCCTGCTGACAGCAGTCCTGAACAGTATTTGTAGCAGTTTGCTCCCAGCAGTAACTGAAAGATGTAGTATGCTGCCTACTGTAAAGCACCTCAAAATCAATTAGTGTGTTGAAGTGAACATTTTCCAAAACTTGCGTAGAGCTCAATGAAGAGGTGATGAGCATTTCCACTTCTTCCCACCAGTGGCATTCAGAGAATGCAGTATGTGAAAGGCCAGCATTCCGTGAATAGAATTCCACTTTTGGATAAAGCATTTCTTGAGCACTGAAATAAATGACATTCTAACAAGATGTACAAGGTAACCCCTGCAAGTACAACTATCAGAAGACAGGCTGCAAACTACAGAGGACAGAAGTTTCGGATGTTAGTACAACGTAACACCAAGGCAGAAGCAAATACAGCTACTGGCCAGTAGCTGACAGGACAATGACCCTCTTGCAGCACCTTTCCTATGAGACATTTCCTCATCATAGGAAAGGTCAGGCTGTAAAAAATAGGTGAACATTCCCTGAGTCACTCTGCTTGATGACATTTAACATATTTTATGTATTAGAGAACCAAAACACACTTCAAGAAAGGCTAGGGGTGGGGGCACACAAAGTCCTGGATTTTAACACCACAACTGCCTTAAAAGGCACGTGATTCCTTTGACAAGTAAAGTACATTCTGATATCTAAGATAAGAATCCTGGAAGCAGACAGTTGGAACAAAAGTAATTTAAATTTCCAGTGTTAATACAGAGCTAAAAACCCCTGGCATTTAACAGCTAACACATCAGAGCATTCAAAACCATTTATAAGTTCCCAGTGTACGACTAAGCTCAGCTACCAAAGTCAGTAGTGATCGTGTTTGAACTTCTACCCGTAGTCTAACCCAACCCTTTGGATATCCAACTTCAATTAGTTTAATTCAAAACTTGAAGTTATAGACAGCTGATTTTATTTAAAATGCCCCTAGAAGTCTGTTCTTCCTATGATCAGATTACTGAGTTTTATGGGGATTTTTCTGTTTTTGTTTTTAAATTACACCCAACTTGAAAGAGGCTACAGGAACCATCAAATGGGCAGGGTATATCAGTAGATATACCAAAAGCTCTGATAATGGAGCTGCTTGCTCCATTATTAATTTTCCTTTTTTTTTTACTTCCTCAGGAAGACTAAGTTGCCAGAGTACACTACTTCTATACTCCATCCCTTTCAGTGCCTACCAGTTAGCCACAAGTCCAAATTCAAGCCACTTTGATTTTAATATTGTTTCTTTCCCATCCTGCCACGACCCACCTTGTTGCTTGGGGATTGTGAAACTGATATTGCAATTTCACGACAGCTTAAACCCATCAGGGCCAGTTCAGTACTGCTGTCCTTTCTTACTGTGCAAGCACGGATGCTAGAGAGCTGAGTTATCTCCTCCCATCAGGGCAGGACAGGCAGCAGGACTGCACCAGTCACAATCTCCATTGGTTTCAGCTGACACAAAGCAACCCCACTGTGCCCTGGCTGCAGCACAGCCATCCCTCCAGCTTTCAGCACAAGCTTTTTCCCAGCATCCTCTGGCAAAGTCTGACAGATACCTGTCTACAGGCATATATTTACATATGTTCTAGTAAAGTCAACTAATCCCACTGTGTGTGTTACAAGTATGACAACTGCAACACAAAGGCTTGCTTTGTCCAAAAGATGCAGTGTACTTTCAAGTCTGACATTTATATTTCCACTAGATTTACAGTGCTACAGTTATGTCAGTCATATCTTACATTTCAACCACAAGATAATTAATTTTGTCCATACAACTACAGCATTATAAAACAAAGCAGCACGTTAAAGTTGCCAAAAACCTCATTCTACGAGTTTTGCACTTCTTTATAAACCTGCCTAATTTTACAGTAAATGGGTTCCTTTACACACCTCAGAAACTCTATGCTGACAGGAATAGAGTTCAAATGCATAAATTTAGCTAGGTTATTTCAGAGCTTAACAAGATTATTTCAAAATGCAGTACTTAGATGTTCCACACATCAAGAGACTTGTTAAGGTACGGGCATGACAAAAGGAATACAATTTCAGAGACTTACACTTTACTCAGTCTGCTGGGTCTTGTCACGTTTTTGTACAACTGCACACAGCTTTGTGGCATGCTGCATTCAGGATTATATACAGAAAGTATCTTCAGGGGAAAGCTATACCACAATTATATTACCCATGAGGTGGCTACACTGTAGCATATACAAATATTAAATTATTTATTTTTAAATTATTTTAAATAGACTTGCATTAAAAACTTCATACACAAAGGTAAAATCTTATTTACAACTACATAAAATACTTCACAAAATATCAAACATTCAAATTCTGTTTTGCAGAAGCCAAACCAGTGACTTGCATTAGGAGTGGACAGCAAGTAAAAAGAGTATTTACTCCCAAATGACTACATTTTCTCATCCAATTGCACCTATGTCAAATTCTTACACCTTTATGGACGACAAATTTTCCTGTCTTACACCCTACAACTGGAGACATTAGCTTAAAAACCATGTATCTGTTCATAAAGTAGACCTGCTTTTCCAAAAATTGCTTTCAGCCAAAATATTCTGTAGTATGCCTGATTCTTGAAATTAGGCTTTTAAATTCAAAGACACAACTGCTACAAATTATGCTGAAATAATGAAAAAAGGACAAGTCAGTTCACAAAGCCCAGATTTCATGCAAAAATCTCTAATGAGTCATTAAAAGGAAAAAAAATTCAGCTTGCTATTAGATTTCAGTTAGTTGGTTTGGTTTTGTCCCCTTCTATTTTCTTTTACCTGAGAAATGCAGATTGCAATACATACCTGGATGTAAAAAAAGTATTACTGTATATCATACCTGTGTGAAGTATTTTCCATCTTGCTTCAGGACTTTCATTGAGAGGTCAAGAATCAACCGCAGAAATTCCCATGTGGAATCTGCAAACAGAGTATGATTTAAAAACAAAAGAGCATGTTATTGGCTTGTTCACTATTACACATTCAAGACCTGCAACATGCCTACTGTTTAGAAACTAGCTATCCTATACCTTAAAACCAAACAAACAAACCCCAACAAACCAATAACAAACAAAAAACCCCAGTAAAACAACCCATATATAATGGTAATGATGGTGGAAGTATCTGTTTTTCTTCACACTAATTTTCCAGATATTTCCAAGAAATTATAGACTGGGAAAAAATTTACTGGAGTGTGAACTCCACAAATATTTTCTTATAGAACTACATGAGTTCATATTATTCTGGAATAACAGCACAGTTTTAAAGAGTCCTAGGCACTTGATAATTTTTCCTAACATTCAAGAAAAATTTAAAAAAGAACACATGTGTACCTATCATATCTGGCTTCTCAGATTTGCTATTAAAAAGGAAATATTTAAAGTACTTTTGTTTCAAACTGCCAACTATTTTGCAGCAGAGGGGCAGAAACATGGAAAATCCTCAGAAATCAAGGAAAATAAATTAGAAGATTAACCTTCTTCTGGAGATGTGGAGATTGGAACAGCCGTCAGATCATTAATTACATAATCAAACATCCTTCCTTCTTTGGCATACCTCTTCAGTACAGGAATACAGTCTTCAATTAGAACCTAGAAGAATGAAATATTGTAGCTCGTCCTCAAAATGCCCTAAAACTGACCAGGTAAAATGAACAAATGGGGATCGTAGGAATTAGGAGGAGTGGAAAAATACAAAAATAAATATGCATTTAATTTTAGGATCCACTTTCAACTTTTTACATCATATAAGAAGGAGTTACAACAATGATAACGTAGGCACTACAGGACTGAATTTCCTATCTCTGTCACTAACTGCTGGGTGACCACTGTTCTACCTACCAAATGGTAACAACAATTAGCAGTTCCCCAACGTATGAGTAAATTAAGGTGTTGGTATGAAGGGCCACTGACTCATGCAAAGTAGCATGTGACTCCTCTGTTAATTTTTCACATGCTTTTTTTTTAGCTCACACCTGTATCTGTGAGAGCCTTAAGGAGCAGTAATGAAAACAGAACTAAAAGATTTCCAATGAAGATGTCAGATTACAACTACAACTGGGCTAGTTTGTAAGCTCTGTCAGATGCAGCACATCAAGACCTTAACTGCAGGGATGCATAAATTTATTTTTAATATACTAGCAGTGTAATGGTAAGATTTTGCCTGCAAATGAAAAATAATTTTAAAACATGTATTACAAATTCAGATATTCTCAACAGTAGAGTAGAAATAAATATACATTTATTCTGCCTTTTCACCAGTTTAAGGAACTATGTTTAGCACTGCATTCTTACTGCTATTTCCTCTTTATCTGTAAACTCTGGCAATAAACATTCTCCTATTTCACATTCCTTAAAAACTATATATTATTATTTTCAAGAGACTGAAGATGGAGAGTTAAAATGTTTTGATGCTCATGTATATTTTCAATGCAAATCCCACTGACAGCTATTAAAATTTAGAAGTGTCATAAAAAAGGAAAAAGTCTTTCCCAAAATTAAGAAAAAAATCAGAAGACTTTTCCCCAAAACTTTGCCATAGTGGTCTTCCAGGCTAGATATAACTATATTTGAAATAATACTTCTAATGAAAGAAAAACAAAATATTACCTGATAGCACTCTCCTTTCAGATTGTCTAAGACATCTCCACATGTTTTACGCATGTATTTTTTACACCCGTCGATCACCATTTGGTCAATGTTTGAAGCTGGTTAAGGCATTCTACATCCCAGAAATAACACAGGCAACAGTTTCTCTTTCTTCAGAAAGAAATTCTCAAAAACATGACATTTGCAAAGGAATAGTCAGATGTGTACCTTGGTATACGTATTACAATAGCCAACCTTGTGTATTCACCTCCAGGTTCAGTTTGAGGCCATAGGAAGTGCTTATTTTTCGTTTTAACCAGTATTTCTGGTACCTTAGGTTACCAAAGCTTGAAATGTGAACAACAGGATGGTGTATTTAAAAATCCTATAAAGCTAAACTAGGTTAAGACTTTAACCTATATTTTTAACACAATTATTTTTAGTTTCTAGCAAGAGGATCCCAAAACTTAGGATAATCTACATTCATAGGGCTAAGATTGGTTTACATTACAAACTATTTGTACTACAGAATGTTGAAAACTTGGTTTGTACCAGTATTTAAGATAGGACAAGAATTGGTCATTCCGCCACCAACACAATTCACCAAGTCCTGATGTTCCTATTGATTAAACTTTTTTTGCTTCTAGGGATTTTTTTGTTTTTAATAGCTTTCTTTAAAAAAAACAGAAGAACTCAAGAAGGCAAAACTCAGCCCAAATCAGACTTGACAATCTGTTTTCTGTTATCAGAGAAGATACCAGTCTGATGACATAAATGCTTCTTTCCAGTTCAATGTAAATTGCTACTCATGACTTACAGTATGTATTGAGAACTTGAAAGCACGTGCTACATAACAATGTACAAACATGTAGTCACTAGGTCTCTCTAAGTTGACAAAAAGAAATTTCATTTTAGACCCTATCTCCTCAAGCAAATCAGAACCTGATAGTTAATTGTACTCAATGCTAAGACATCAGCAGAAAACACAGGCTGAAAAACGTTGAGATGAATGATCAGTCGTTTGACAAAGGATATCTCTACCATAGTAACCATCTTTGGCTTCAGTTTGACAATCTCATACAGTATACCTCCATCACCACCTCCTAGGATTAGCACTTCTTTCCCAGTGTAGTCTTCCTTTCCGCTGCCCATTATGGCTTGAGTATATGCCAGGTCACTCTCTGCCAGATCTGAATGGAAAGAAGAAAAAAAAGTTGGACAGAAACATTCCATTTTTAATTCTTCTCATTAATTGGTATTGTTATTAATCCAAAGGTAATATAATACAGACCAAAGCAAGAGCATCTACAGAAACAATCTTGCTCTCAGAGACAGTCCAGGTAACAGGAGGCTGGTGATTTAACAAAGCTAATGAGAACCTCCTCAGAATTCCACACAGGATTTTTCAACTTCTCCATGCAAACCTAGCAATGGCTACCTCGGCATTAGGCAGTACTGCTTGCCAAGAGAAGCAAAGTTGTAGAGCAAAACAGTCAGTACTTAAGATTTGATGCCCGCACTTTATACTTCAGTGGGTTTTCACCTCAGCCTAGCACTGCAAGAGAGAAATCGGATTTTTTGAAAGCACACTCTGGACCCCAACTAAAAAGAGCAACCCAGATACACCCCAGTGGATCCCTGCACAGAGCATAAGTATGGCCATTAACACCTAACTGCTGAAGGGCCCTGAAGCAGCCTTCTGCTGACTTGTTCACCATTAATTTCAAAGCACGCAATAACATTCCTAAGCTCTAATAACAGATGTGAGCTACAAGGGCAAAGCTGTGTGCAGCAGCACATCATGGCATATCCTATTATTCTACCTGGCAATCAGCACTTAGCTTTTAAGTGCACAATAACAAAATGACACAAAGTAGCATTTTAAAACCCCATGGAAGGTAAATAAGTAATAGCATACTTCCCTTTCTACCAGGCACATTGTGACAGTGTTCAAACAAAACCTTAGCTCCATATGAAACTCTGATGAAAATTTCTGGCCAGAAGTATGAATACCTAATTTGGTAATTTCAAATACAATTCTAACTGAATTAGAAAATACCTTGCTAATGAATTCAGTAACAACACTCTTCAGCTGCCATCTGCATAGAAGTTCCCCTGACAGTTGCAGAAAGTTAACTGAATGGTTAGAGGTATTTCTGGTGATTTCAAGAGTTATAGTCAAATTTCTTAATTACACTGCCATTAGATTGAAATTAAGTATTCTATCCCTAGACAGCAACTTCACTCATTTACCTCAGTCAGTACTTTTCAACATAAGTACTGAGAGATTTTACAAAGCATACTCCGAGGCCTAGATTTTCTAGCAAACAGCATTCTCATCCCGCTTAAATGAACAGTAGCCCATCTTCTCCCAAATTCACTTTCAAAACCACAAAGACCAGCAGGCACAGAGTACCACATGTAAAGACCCACCCATAAAGGCTGGATCACTCTTCTGATTAACTCAAGAGTTCAACTAAGCATTTTGAAGAAGACAGAGTCAAAAGATGTCCACCAAAGCAGCTAAATGGGTTAAGATACAGCTGTTTTGTATCCCACCACTCAGGTAACTCCCTTAGAAAATTAAGGGAGCAGCAGGATTATGCATACACACACATCCACTAGCTCCTACTTCTTCATGTTTCTTTTGAATTCCACTGCATTTTGAAGACTGACAAAGTAGCTTGTTTTACTGTCAAAAAGAAGCCCTCAAGAGGTTGGACTTGCAACAAACAGGTAAAAGCTCATATGAAAGAACGGAGTAGAGTAAGCTCTGCTAAAGAACATGGACTTCTGTGCTACCTTCCACAGCAAAGACAACAACTTTAGGAAAAGAAGACCTCTTTCTTGTACTCTAGATTTTACATTGATCAGCCTTTCTGATTAAAATACTATATATTCAGGAACAGACATAAGTGTACATTGTATATGCATATATGTACCTTCCTGCCTCAGAACCACAGCCCTTAGTAATCTATTAAAACTGTGCCATAGCAAGACAGAAAACAAGACTTCCTATAATTTCTCACAAAAGATCCTCAAATTAGATGATACTTACTAACATCCCCACTGAGGATAAGAATATTCCCAAACTGTTTTGAATGCAGAATTTTAATATTCTGAAAAGGTGAATCTTCATCATAAACAACTTTATCTATGTCGTACTCCACCAGGCGCCCATCAGCTGTGGGCCAGTATCTATCAATGTCACCTCCTCTCAAAATAGCTGGCAATCTAGAAGGAAATAATAATAAAAAAAGATTACAAAACATTTGAGAATTTTTTTTTTTAAATCTCCTCTAAACATCCTGTGGATTCACCATAACAAATAAATATTTACAAGAGAGATCTAAGAAAACTTGCAAGATGTAGCACTCAATAGATTTAAGAAACCTTATGTCAAATATATGCCATACGTCAAATATACATAGCTTGCTAAGGCACAGATCAAATATAAATGGTTCTTCTTTATGGACAACTTCTACAATGTGCCCACAAATCCATCTCTACCTTAAGAGAGGAGATTTACATAACATAACAGTCACTGCAGAAGAATCAGCTCATGACTAGAAATGGATACAATACCAAAGCAGAACGCAGAAAAAACCCGTGACAAAACCTCTTCCCACCTTCAGCTCAGCTAAGAACACCGTTTCCATGAGGTTAGTGGATCTCACCCATCTAAAGTAGTACTGAGACATTTTAAATACATATACAAACACAAAAAGTGGAATACTATAGTGTTTCAGTCTAAGCCAGGTCACTCTGCAGTGTATAAGCACAATCCGTGATAACAGCTGACGGTTTGCGTTACTTTTAAAAAGCGGTTCAAGCATCTGCGTAGATTGTTTCTGTTCTACTGGTTGGTTGTGGGGCTTTTTGTTTTGTTTTTTCTTTCTTTAACTCCATAGAGAAGTATCTTAGTTCAAATCAGTATTTCACCCATACAGACAAATAAAATTTGAAATGGCAGTGAATGACCAAAATGATTGCATGCCGTTTCAAGCAAAATGTGCAGGCACAGAGTTCATCAGATTTCCTACACACAATTCAGAGATTTAAGTAGTTTTTGGTTTGGTTTTTTTTGTCTGGTTGGGGTTTTGGTTTTTTGTTTTTTGGTTTGTTTTTTTTTTGAGTGTCATCCCTTCCCACCTCCCCTAAGAGGAGTGTGAGCAGAAGACCATTCTAAACGCACTAGTGATTCTCAAGACACATTTCAGAAACGTTTTCTACCCTCAGTGAGCCACGAGATGGCAGCACACAGTGAGAGCAAGAGCATCTATTCACCAGTCAAAACAAAAAGGCAGAAGCTCAGGGGTGTGTGACCTTCCATGCCAGATCCACTGTTTTAAGAAGTTCATCTTCCTATACTAAGGTAACCAAATTAGTCCAGATCACTTCAAGCAGACTCTTTCCTGACCATTTTTAACAATTTCCTATCATAGGGATTCCACAAACTCCCAAAATATTTCAGTATTAAAATATCCTCAGAGTGAGAACTTCTCCCCTACACACATACACAAGATTATCTGCATTTGCACACTGTGCACCAGGTGAGGCTTTACAAGTAAAGCATGATAACTACCTCTGTTTTATATGTAACTGTCAAACATTAATATTCAAGATGTAACATCACTTTTCAAATCACTACCACTTGTGGTCTTGTATAGCCTTCAGATTACTTTCTGCTACAGTACTGCTTAGCTGCTTTCCCATTTGAATCTTGTTGATTTTACACTGCTATTTACTTTTCTCAAGCCATTTCCACTTCTGATTATGTTCTTTAAAGCACCTGCTACACCTTCCAGTAGATGTATGCCTGCAGTAAGTGCTCCCTGGCTTCCAGGTGCCAGTCACTACCAGACAGCCACCACCAGGAAAACATCGGCACGAGCCACGTCCTTCCAGATGCCCAGGGAACTCCACCATGAATGCTGTTTCAGCGGCAGGTAACAAACCACAATTAGCATCCCTACACTTTAATACAGAACTTTGTAGTTAAGTAAACCAAAATGGCTTGCAAAGCCTCCCTCCTTCATTTATCGGATATATTTAAGTTTGCTGCAAAACATTTCTATCTCCTTGGCAGAGCCCTAAGCACACAGGTTCCCCTGGGGTTTTTGGCACACATGCTCAAGGCCAGCACAGCAGGGGCAGAGCTGTGAAAGAAAGAGCTGCAGGAAACATTGTCAGGGCAAGGCCTCCTCCATGGGCTTGAGCTTCAGTGTAGCTCCAGCCTTTGCCTCAGGTCCCTGCCCAAGCTATGCTGCAGCTCTGCCCACATCTGCCCAAGTCCTTCACCCATCCCTGACACCCAGCTTGGTCCCAGAGCTGCCTCAGTACTACAGCCCAGCCTGGCAGTCACAGTGCTGAGGATGACTCCAGTCACCATCACCAGCCCCACTCACCCTGTTCATGAGCTGTGGGATATGGCCAGGAGGCCCATGCCCTGGCCTATCCCTCTGCCACCCTTGGATCCTCAGCCCTTACAGAACAGTCTGCTCTTACTTCCTGTTTGCATTTTCTCTCACCATTTCATGCAACCATTGCAGCAAATTAAAGAAATAATGCTTGCCCAAAATAACAATACTGAAGAAAAGCTTAAAGTGACAAACCTGACAGCACCTTCAATTCTGCAATAGAACAACTTTAAAATATTGGGGAAAAAAGCCACATGCATATATTCATACTCCAGGCTATTCATCACAGTACAAACTATGATTTGCTTATTATCTTTAGCAACTATGCAGCCAAGCCACATACAGGAGTAGATGTGCAAACTTACCGTTTCACCCTTTTTATATTACCGTGAAACAGTTCTTTCATTCTTTCTTCTACTTTGTTTAGAAGCTGAAAAAAATAGCAAACAAGGTAGAATTTACAGATGATCGCTTATTGTAAAATATCTTTGAAATTAAGCTATTTGAAAGGCAATAAAAAGTAGCACCTACACTGAAAGGCTTCAAAATGTAACATTAGAAGCCTATGAATACCTAGCTGGTCACCTTAGCTTTGTTAGTAGCAAGAACATGGATATCACAGCAGCTGTCATCACTGCATTTAGCTGTCCTCCAGGATAACACTGCCAGACCTTCCAGGCACAGCCAAAGAGGGAACACGAGACCCCTGTAAGGTTTAATCCCCACCATTACAGTGGTCTATTCCCCTGCAATTTCCAATTTCTGGAGTCTTCCTATGAGGAAGGATTAAGTTATTTTTCTCCATAGGAAAGGAGTTTGAATACAGAGCCTCTCCATCTCTCAAATTATAGAAGAAAAAAAGTCATACATTAATACACCAGGACGTGGGTTGAGCATGACTTCTCCTTCATTGCTCTGTGTACCTGAAGAGACCTGAGCCCCAACCAAGGCTGCTATGTCTTTACAACTTTTACAGCAAAGACCACGAGGCCCAGGACACACAAAAGAGAGCGTGTGTGTACCCACAGATGTATGCAGCTACAATAGGTGTTACTACTCCTCCTCTGTAAGCATTCAGGCTTGAACTAACTTTGATATTTAAAAAGCTTTTTTACCAAGATATACTTTGATAGACCTTGAGAAAATAAGGGGCTCCCCATTCAGTTGGATAAGCCCAGTAAGTTAAGCATCACTCATACCTCATCGACTTCCTCTCTTCCTTTTGTATGATCATTGTAGCTCTGCAGATCCACCAACACTAATCCATGAGGGTGAATCCTCAAATTGGCAAAACTACAAAATAAAGAGAGACTGTGATTACTATTTTTTATCAAAAATCAGAATGAGTAAGGAAAGAAAGTCTGAAACAAGTTATATTAAATTCAGAATGCACATTTCTTTTTCCAGCTGCCTGTAACTGTTGGCAATGCTATCTCTGGTCTTCCTCTGCAAGTTACCACGTAGCAAAGTTGCAAGGGCATGCCAGTCACTACATAACTAATAAAAGCAGGGAGCAAGACCGTGAAATAGGGTGTTTAAACCAGAACAAATCTGTAGTGAGGGGAAAATATATGCCTACTAGTTTCACCTCTTTAAAAAAGGCCTGCTTGAACAGGTATGTTGTGTTGGTTTTGGTTTTTAACTGAAATTAAGCCTCAAGAAAACAACTGGATGCTTTCTTTCCCCTGTATCTTCCTTCTCCCTTCTTGGTTTGGTTTTGTTTTGTATGGGTTGGTTTTGGTTGGGTTTTTTTTAAAAAAAAAAAAAAAACAAACAACTTTATAGCAACTACTCACAGAGATGGTGTTCACATTCAAAGCTGGATAAAAATTTGTGAGAACCAGTAAGTGTCCTGAAGCAAACCACAGCTTTGACTACTGGTGAAGAAATTACAGCAGCAAACTCGTTGATGAAAACAGATCCAAGACAGACAAAATCCCTATTGTATATTGTATTTACTATAGGAGCATTTAAAGATCAAAGAGCAAGGCTTCACCACGCTAGGTGTTGGGTGGACAAGTAGAGGACCTTGAAGAACTTGAAACAAACAAAACAAGATAAAGGCTATGGGGAGGGACACAAAAGAAAAACAGAGTAGCAAAGGCTGTATTATCCTTTCCTTACTGGGGAGGGGAGAAGACAAAAAGAAACAGAAAGGCTACAAGGGGATAACAAAGGAAGGGAGGGGAAGCATAACAGTGAAACAGGGTAGAGGAGGGGATGGGAACAGTTGAGCAAAGAGGAAGAGTATTTGGGGATGGAATTTCATTAGTACAACACAGAGAAACCCCAGATAAAGCTGTATACAGTTGTCTGAATGCCCCTTTCTTTGTTTGTCTGCTCTCATCAGCCCACTTGGCCCCAAAGGCAAACCACAAACCAACTCTTGTTAAGACAAAGTTTAGGTGACCTCCCATCTCCTCACCACTCCCATCTTATTTTTGTCACTTCCAGAGCTCCTTTCCTAAACTGGCAGCCTCAGTATGAACACCACCTCTCCCATGGTGGTGGAAACTTTGGCCAGCAAACAACTTTAGGCTGCAGTCAGAGAGAAAATCCTGAGTATTCTGTAAATGTAATCTGAAGATTATAAATTTTGGTAACTAAAATGATCAAATGATGAAACTGACTGAAGTGATTAACGAATAAAAACACTTGCTGGTTTTGGACAGCAGTGATCTGTAGCTGTGATGCGCTTACAGCTGACAGAAACCAGGGTGTCAGCCACTTCTCTTCAAAAGATGAGCCTGGGAAGTCTCAGGCTTTCCTGAATACCTTCCATACAAGTCTTAGCTTAAGGAGGAAAGACATTTCCATACAACATGCACAAGCCTGCCATGTTTCCCCCTCCCAAATACCTGCACATTGTCAGGATCCTGTAGTGACCCTCCCTACATCTCACTGATTGCCCCCTAGGCACCCTCCTGACAAATGTTTTTGATGCAGGACCAGAAAACACCCCTACTCCCAACAGCCATTAAGCAAAATCACAGAATAGCCTTAAAATACATATTCCCCCTGCACCAGGAAATTACTCCTGCATAAAATAAAACACACTATTTTACCCTGCTGAAAGGATGAACAGAAAATAGTTCGAAAGTAGTTCGAGGAGTAAACACAGATGCTTTTTTAATTATTTTTAACTACCAGATAGAATACCACCACTTAAGAGACCAGGTTTGTGAGCTAATAGAAGACTGTTTCCAGTATTCAAGACATTTCTAAGACAGCTTTTTGATTCTCTCATACAAGCTATATAAGAAAGTGTCCAGGGAGAACCAGCAAACTCATTCTACCATACTCCTACCAAAACCGAAGCAAGGCAGAAGTTGTTCTGAACTTCAGCATGTAAACACTTTACCTGCATGTTTTAGGATGCCTCCCACTCACTGATGACTGATACAATTTCAGTACTTTTGATACAAAGGCCACTTCATACTTTGCATCATGACCACAACTTCTCACAGTTTAAGTTGATGTTCCCATTGGTATCACTAAGACAGAAGTAGGATCACTAAGCAATAAAAAGAGGGCAGGACACACACTCACCTTCCCCCAGTTCTCTACAGGGCTTCAGAGCTTCTAAACACTTTGCTCCATGACCTTACAAGCCCTTGGACCAAAAGGACTCAAATTAGTTGCACACTTGTCGTGGAGTCTCTTGGTACTCAGCATAGGGGGAACAGCTACTGCAAAGGACAGCTCTGGAGAAATCCCTACCAGGATTCCGTTTATATGATTTTTTTTGTGTCAGCAAGGGTTTATTTTCTAATTTGCCTAACCTAACATAACAGGAAAAAATAGGCATAAGTGAAAGAACAAACAACTTCATCATAAGACTCCAGAATACTTTTTTTTTTTAAAAAAAAAGGTGGGAGGGGAGGTGAGGGGAGACAAAAGAAAAGAGCAGAGCTTGCTAAAATGGAGCACTGGTCACTCCAGCAGGTTTTGGACACAACCATCCACAGTCAAAAGACATTTCTAGTGAAGTCTATAGACCTTCTCCAGGTCCTCAGAGCTGCAGCACTACAGACAGAAATGAGTATTTGCAGTTCATAAGGCAGCATTGTTATTAAGGTCTCAAATGTAGCACAGTACTAGAAATATTTGCGCTTTTTTGTTCCCATTTCCAGGGCTGTTACTTATACAAATAAGCGACAGATTGAGTGTCCCATGACTTTAGTTCCCTTTGCAACTCCTTTCCTACAAGAATCACATACCTGTCAGAAGATCTGACAGCTAACACTATCTTCACTTCCCCTGTGAGTGCATGAAATACTTCCTCAGTATGGCATATTACTGCCTTTGCTTTGGAGTCTTTTTTTGGATGTGAGGCAGAGAGGAGGGTTGCTCTGAAAAGCACAACTACACAACTTTGGACTTACTATTAAGTGACATGATAGCATTCGAATACAGAGACAGTAATACCACAGAACTGTCACTCATTTTGTCAAATTGTTACTTCTACCAAAATAGCAGGGTCCTGACACCTGCAGTGGGGACAGAGATGAAAGGTGGGCATCAGGCTGGAACAGTGTAGTGGAGCAAAAATTCGAGTTCTGAGCATCTGGCTGTTAATCTCAGATAGTTAATTTATGGTAAACAACCTTGAATAAAATTCAAAATTCTCAAAAGAAGCTGATACAGACCCAGGTTGGTTATACCTCGGTTTAAAGTCACTGGGTTAAAAGTCACTTGGTTGGAAATTAACATCCGAAATAGCTAAAATGTCTGTAAAAATTTAAACACACAAACAGTACAAGTGCACATTCAGAAAAGTGACCAAACTAGTAGCACTAAGGCAATAGCAGCAGGCCAAGGCTGAACCCACAAAAGAGTTACTAGCTTCAATCAGCTGAGAGCAAAGGCAATGCTTGCTTTTGCTACTTTACACTTGTCTGCTTAGCAGAACTCACATGAATGCAGGTTTTCAGCAGCAGCTCTTATAATATTTGAGGGAGGGCTTTAAGAATCATTATAATAGTTTCCATTTTCTACCTATGAAAATATAGCAAAGATTACTTTACAATCCAAATGAGGGGGAGGAAACTGAAAAATGAAGTTTTCCTCCTAAGTCTCCCCTCCTCTATCTTGTACTGAAAAATTTCATTCCTGTTTTCAAAACAAAACACTTGACACATCTTTGGCGTGTGCTTGCATGCACTTTCATAGAAGCAGTGAGAAAAAAACCTCAGTGAGATCCTCCCCTATTCATTAGGCAACAAGATTTGCACATGAAAAGCAGTCCCCAGTGTAACAAGGCCCCACTTGTTGCTGCACCTGCATACCTGCCATGTCTTCTGGGGCAGTACTCAAGCTTTTTGTGCTTGCATGCAAACGAGTTAACTACAGAAACAACTCTACTGAGTGCTGCATCTCGCCACCTGAACAGATGTTAAGAAATAAATCCCAACTGCGTAAATCAAAAAGTAACTGTTTGAAACTGAGAGAAGTTTTACATAAAAAGAACCAGAAGCAGGGAGATCAACACATTCTAAGCCAAAATGTATATCCTACCATAGTTACTTGTACTGAGAAGTAAGAAACATTGCAAGAAAGGATTTCCCCCACCACCATGCCCAGGGAATAACACTGGATAGACAAGGCAGGTACCTACAAACTCCTCTTCATCTATCAAAGCCTTTATCTGCTGGCAGACTAACTTTGAGTCATTACAGAATAGATGGAATAGTTCAAGTATTTTAAAAATAGCTTGCCAATAAAAGCATCACCTGCCAAACTACTCATGAGAGAGGAAATTAGAACCTGCTTATATTAATCTCCCTTCCACCCCCCAAAAAATCATCACAACATTGTGTCAATAAAACATTTTAGGTTTTTTAAATGCTTTTCATTTTAATTATAAGGTACTGAAAGGATCTTAAGGAATTAAGTAACTACAGTTTTTCACTATACCATTATTCTTGGGGTTTTGTTGTGTTTTTTTTGTTGTTTTGTTTTGTTGTGTTTTTTTTTTTTTTTACAAAACAAGTAGTTAGAACTGTAGTAACTTTCACTGGTTTACACTATTGCTGATTCCTAGCAACTACTTCCAATTCTTCAGTCTGTTTTGCACTTTGTATAACCCCATGAATAAACTACAACATTTTAGCCTGAAACAAAGAGCTGAGGAATGTTCATCCTGCTCCTTTAAAACATGCTGACTAGCAAACAGAATGGTTAGCAAAAGCCTAACATAGAAAATAAAAAGTAAAAACTCATCCTTCCCTTCATGGTGTTAATAACTCATTATCATCTCAGTGACACACAAACCAACTTCAACTGGGTAAATC